TTTCCTGTTGGTGACTCCAGATCACTGCTTCGTCTGGATAGGAGAGTTCTCAAATGTGATCGAGAGGGCGAAGGTGAGCGCTGTGCTGGTGTCATAGACAAACTGTGACGGATAAAATACGAATTTTTGATTTGTGTCTGTGAAGCACACTGCCGCAATATTTGCATTTGAAAAAAAAAGATGATTCATTCATGATTCCCTGCACACACACACACACAAGCACACACACACACACACACATATGCCCAGGAGTGATCGCCCATCAAAACTTCCTCCTCCACAGTTCTTCCATTAAGAAGGAAGTCCTTACACTCACTCTATAATACATAACAAATATTATTTTTCTCTCTGTATTCATGCATTAATATAAAACAGGATACATGTCAGTCCACTGTTCCTTTATCAATCAAGAAACATCTAATTTCAGCTTCCTCTCCCTGCGTCTTTATTTCTTGCCTGCAGGCGATAGATTTGGCCACTTTTCTCCAAACAAAGAAGGACATGGGCTGCAGGGCAAACCAGGTGCAGATTGTGGAGGAAGGAGTCAACCCACAGGGTCCAGACCACCAGCACTTCTGGACGATCTTAGGAGGACAGTCGGCTTATCAACGTAAGTTTGAAGCCTTTGCTCCATAGTCATTTTTATGGTCCTCCTGTTTTTCTGATTGTCGCTTCATGGCTTTTTATATTCTAATCGTGCCGCAGCTGCGGGTCCACCAGAGGAGGATGAGCAGTTTGAAAACGCCATCGTGGAAACCAACTGTATCTTCAGGCTGCTGGACGACAAACTGGTTCCTGATGATGAAGAGTGGGGGAAGGTCCCTCACAACTCTCTGCTGGCGTCCAAAGAGGTCTGTGGGACTGTGTTTGTCTCGAGGTCAAAAATGTCAACAGAAAATACCTTTTTATAACGGGGCACGTTTCAGCTTTGCTTTTACTCGCACCTTGATTGGTCTGAGAGGAAGTCGGTCCTCTGTATTTTAATTATTTCTATCAACACTAGAGCCAAATGCAATTCAGTACTTTGCAATGTAATAACATTGAACGTGATTCATACAGTTGTATCCCCTCAAACAGTCTAATTAGACTACGTGGTGATGGACTGTATCTAAGGTAACAGACTCTGATCATGAGAGTATTTTCCTGGATTTTTTCCGAGGAGCTCTGCGCTTCGAGCAGGTTTTAATTTTTTGTCAAGTGCCTCCTACATCCATCTGTGCAACTGTAAGGGGGCTGAGACCAGGGATGTCACAGTGTCTACTCTGCATATGAATGATGGATCATCACAGGCTGTCTGTGATTTGTTTCTATATTTTCTTATTTAGAATCCTGCTCATTTGAATCATGTACTAACATGTAGTGTAGATGAGTCTTGCTTACAAATGAGAAGAAATCTGTGTTTTAATTAACATGTAGCTCATGTGACCGTTCTTAAAACTGCAACAGCCGCACAGTGTTTGTTAATTGTTTCCTGTTGTTGCCGCTGCAGGTGTTGGTGTTTGACTTTGGCAGTGAGGTGTACGTGTGGCACGGTAAGGAGGTGACTCTCGCCCAGAGGAAAGTGGCCTTCCAGCTCGCCAAACACCTCTGGAACGGTACGTTTGATTACACCTGCTGTGACGTCAACCCACTCGACCCCGGCGGCTGCAACACACTCATACCCAGGTGAGATTACACACACGGGCTTTTATCATGTTTGAGGTTGATGTTATATAAAATAAAAATTCCCTTCCCTAACTAACTCAAGTCAAATCATGCTTTCTCTTCTTCTTTGCGTCTGTTTTTGTTTAACCCACCACAGAAAGGGCCAGGGCCGTCCTGATTGGGCGATATTTGGCAGGCTGACAGAGCACAACGAGACAATCTTGTTCAAGGAGAAGTTCATGGACTGGACGGAAACGAAGGCGGTGACTCCAAAGGAAGGCGGCGAGCTGGTACCTGAGCAGAAGGTGCAAATCCAGCGCTTGTGTCACAAGAATAATCAATTTAATTACACAAGTCACACACATCAGAGACCCATCTGCTTAACTATTTATTAAACTGTGGCTCACAGTCAGTGTCAGCTCATGCGGCCAGGAACAGTTTGTTTCATACTGGAACTGGAAAAAGAAGAAGAGAGGACATGTCTGTGTAAATTCTGGACAAAGTTCATAGAGAAACATGAAAATCCCTCATTCTGCCTGTTGCAGCAGATCTATTACTTATAAATATTCATAATATAATAAATCCTATCTACACTAACCCTAACCCTGGTTGTCATTCCCAGGAGGCCCCGGGGCGAGAGTGCCGGCCCTACGACGCCACCCTGATGCTACCCGTCCTCCAGTCGTCCATTTCCACCATCTTGGACGGAGTAAACGTGGGCCGTGGTTATGGTCCGGTGGAGACTGAGGACCACATGAGAATCCAGGAGCTCAGCACGGTGTCGGTGGACGTCTGGCACATCCTGGAGTTCGACTACAGCCGCCTCCCACGCCAGAGCATTGGTCAGTTCCACGAGGGAGACGCCTACGTGGTCAAGTGGAAGCACATGGTCAGCACCTCAGGTTCGTGACAAAGTATTTACGCTCCACCTCTGATTCACAATGTGATCCTGCATTCAAATCAGAACAAAGTCATTCTTACCACGTTAGAGAAATGTAACAAGTGCTGAGTTTTGATTTTGTCATTGATCATAATGTTTATTTTTTGGCAAACTAGAATAGCGCTCGGTCGAGCACATATCTTATATCTGTTGTGCATGTGTGTTCCAGTTGGCCGCAGACAGAACCCCGAGGCGAGGAGCACCGGACCGGGGAAAGAGAAATGCTGCTATTTCTTCTGGCAGGGCCGACACTCCACCGTCAGCGAGAAAGGGACCTCAGCCCTGATGACGGTGGAGCTGGATGAGGAGAGGGGAGCACAGGTAAGATGATGAGGCTTCTCACCAGAGTGAGTGTAACCTGATGTTGAACATCTAAACTTTCATAATCCATGTCGCGTGTGTTACAGGTTCAGGTGCAGCAGGGGAAGGAGCCTCCGTGTTTCCTTCAGTGCTTCAACGGAGGGATGATCATCCATGCTGGCAAAAGGGAGGAGGAGGAGGAGAACACTCAGAGTAATTATTTCAACTCCAATTTTTTGATCTGCAAGAGAGGGGACAGGGCGGAGGATGATTCAGTCCGTAAAATACACAGATTCATTATTTTGAACCAGTTTAGTTATTTTTTAAGACGCCAGTTTTAACAGAATAGAATCTAAAAAAATGATGTTGTCTTTATGGATTAAGTTCATTATAATTTTAATGAAATGTCTATTATGGATCATCTGTTGTAATTAGATGTGTTTAAGAGAAGTCCGACAATTCTGCAGCAGTTTAAATTAAATAAAACACAGTAGAAATTCAGCACAGCAGAGTCAGACGACATGTTTTTATGTTGTGATACCGAGTGACTCATATTCACTGATCTGCGTTTAGGTGACTGGCGTCTGTACTGTGTCCGGGGCGAGGCTCCGGTGGAAGGCCACCTGCTGGAGGTGGCGTGCCACTGCAGCAGCCTGCGCTCCAGAGCCTCCATGATCTTGCTGAACATCAACAAGGCCATCATCTACCTTTGGCACGGCTGCAAGACGCAGCTTCACACTCGCGGCGTGGGAAACACGGCTGCACTCAAAATCAAAGAACAGTGAGTTTCATAAGCAGGGACGTTTGGCCTCTGATCATGACGGCTGGGTTTCATGACGCCTCATGTTTTCCCTCCTGTTGCTCTCAGGTGTCCTCTGGAAGCAGGTCTCCATAGCAGCAGTAAGGTGACCATCCATGAGTGTGATGAGGGGGTGGAGCCTCCAGGCTTCTGGGAGGCTCTGGGCAGAAAGGACAGGAAGGCGTACGACTGTATGCTGCAAGGTGCACGAAACCGTTTCAGTGTGTCACTGATAGACACAAGTCAACTCTCTTTTATTGTCATGTCATGTCAAACAAAATGTGTCATCCGTTTAGTTTGAGCCACCTCTGATTCATCATTGTTCCATGTTGCGGACACAGACTGAAGAGTCCTGTCCAAAAACATCCACTGATCATTTCTATCAGTTTTCAATTGAGTGACGAACAACGAACAGCTTCAGACCAGCAGTCGGAGGAATGAAGTATCTCGTTACATGCTGCTTTTCTGATTTTCTTTTCAGATCCCGGTAAATTCAACTTCACCCCGCGACTCTTCCAGCTGAGCAGCACATCTGGAGAGTTTGTGGCGACCGAGTTCTTCCACCTGTCCAGAGCTCCGGACCTGGTCAGCTCGCTGCCTTTCCTGCAGGAAGACTTGTACAACGCACCACAACCTGGTGAGACGCAAAAATGCCCAGCTGTAAACCTTACTCTTAATTTGTGGATCACGTGGGGTCGATGAAACCGATGAATGTTCTGTACATTTCTGTAATTTACAAGGAAAGAGTAAAATTCATTCCTCCCTCCGATCGCAGCGTTGTTCCTGGTGGATAACTTCCATGAAGTTTACCTGTGGCAGGGTTGGTGGCCTCAGGACAGTGAGAACACCGGCTCGGCTCGTATCCGCTGGGACTCGGACAGGAAGTGTGCGATGGAGACCGTGCTGCAGTACTGCAAAGGTTTGGAAACGGAAATTAGCTGCATGATTGTTTGTAATATACTGTACACCACAAGATAATCACATTTATTTTATATTTCTTGTGACAGACGGATAAACATTCACATTCAAAGACAAAGTTTGATTTCTTCCTGTAAATGCTGACGTGACAAACGTTTTCCAACACAGTTTAAATCTGAGGTCAGAAATATTGTGATGTTTTTTTTCTCTCAGAGAGAAACGAGAAGAAACCTCAGAAGTCGTATCTGATACACGCCGGTCTGGAGCCACTCACCTTCACCAACATGTTTCCCAGCTGGGAGCACCGAGAGGACGTGGCTGAGATCACAGAGAGGGTCAGCAACACACACACACACACACACACACACACACAGATTTCACATGAACACATGGAGTCTCACTTGTCTTCACATCTGCTTCATACTTCTTATGTTGTCGTCTCGCGGCTGCAGGAAGCAGAGGTGTGTCACCAGATCATCCTGGTGGAGGACGTGTTGGCTCGGCTCAGTCAGAACACCTTCCCTCTGGCTCAGCTGCAGGGCCGGCCGCTCCCTGAGGGAGTCGACCCCCTCCGTCTGGAGCTCTACCTGTCCGACCAGGACTTTGAGGTCAGTGCTGTAACCCTGACAGACCGCTCGAATGATCCGGAAATATCCCGGCTGTATTGTTACGTGGGCTCCCCCTGGACGTTCTCCAGACAGTTTAATGTGTGGACTTCAGTGCATGTCTGAGAGAAGTCATCAGCTCTTACAAACAATATGCTGCTGTAAAAAATAATCGATCGGTTGAAGCACAGACACAGTTTGTCTGATGCAAAGCAAACATTTCAAACATCAAGTAAACAGAATAAGTTATTTTAAGCTAAAAGTATTCTGAGGTGTTTTTTTTCTTCTAAATCTACTCATCTCATTCATATCATCCATGCTAACTCCATTTAACTCTCACTTTTCAGACCAAGTTGTAGGTGGATTCAGGTAAGAGGAGCCACCGGTGTGATTTTATCAACATCGCGACCTGTTCTTCTTTCCAGCATGTCCGCACTGTGTCTCTCTCCCTCACGTGATTTAAAAACTCTGATTCACTCTGTCACTCTCCTGTCTCTGAAGCGCGGTGCTGGTTGTGGAGGAACGTTTTGCGCTCGACTGCACAGTTACGTCTAAAAACATCATCGCGATCAGTCTGACGGACGTGACGGTCGGTCAGGTCCTTTAAATCAGCTGCTGTCACAGAAGTTACCAACTTCTTCACACAGCAGATAACAAATGATAAAGAAAAGGACTGACACTTAGATTACACATAAATAAAATGTTAAATTAGATTGTAGTCGCACATAACAAACCAAAAAGTTATTTTAAATTCTCTACATTTTTTTCAGAGCTGGAATAAAAAGTCAAACAAAGATGCTTATTGTCACATTGTGAAGCTCTGTAGTGGCAGAAATTAAGTTGTTGAATATGTTAAAACAAAGAAAACTGCAATATTTTAAATACCTCTCAGTTGTTGCACAGGGTTTATCTGAACAGCTTTTTTATTCCAGAGTATCTCTTCAGTAACTTTGGGCTCTGGGAAGTTGTACTGAGGATTTTTTACTACTTCATTTAATGGCCAAAACAAATAAGTGACTCTTTATGGGATTAGATTAGAATCTTTTTTTGAACAGATATTGTTATTGAATAATCTCAGCGATCAGCTGTTTCTTACAGGAACAACGAAGGTTTTCAATTAGATGTTTAAAGACACAGTTACGATGATTAAGATGTTTGATTGTGCAGCTGTAGTTCCTCTGTTCTCCTCAAGGTGTCTTCACTCAGCACCTTCAACTCCAGCACCTTCCTGTACCTGCACCTCTCTGCTGCTCTCTCTCTCTCCCTCTCTTTCTCTCTCTCTCTCTCACCCTCTCTCACCTCTCTCACACACCACTTGTGATTCACCGTCACCTCAGACTGACTCACTCTGCCTGTGCAGCACAAAATGGAGGCATGAGACTGTTACACTGTCCTCACACAGAGGTTTACTCGGGTTTTGATGATTGTACGCTCTGACATTACACGCTTCTGTGTATTAGTACACAGACAGAAATATGCAAAAATAAACCCCCAAGGTTTTCATTCAAAGCATCTTTTCCAAATTGTCCTCTTAGTTTAATCTCAATGTTTTAAATTATCCTGATAAGAATAATATTTTTGTGATGTAAAGGTTTTAAAATATTACTCAAATAAAATCAAATGCCTCCAGAAAGTGTCCCGGTCCGATTAGCTGGAAAACACTGATTACAATGGTACAACTAACTGTCGGGAGTTTTTACCACAGTATAAAGTCAAACACTCAAACACCAATACCTTCATCACGACATGTTTAAACTGCGTCATCTTTTGTTTTTTTCTCTTCCGTCACAGAAAGCTTTGGAAATGAGAAGAGAGGAATATGAAGGTCTGCCAGGGTGGAAGCAAGTGAACCTAAAGAAGGCCAAAGGACTGTTTTAAGATTTAACTGAAGACGGCGTGTGAAGCGGAGGAAGAGTGGACAGCACAGATGGAGAAACCGGAAGTGTCACATTAACCTTTAAAGTTGTAGCGTGAACCCGCGAGGACTCTGGTGACAGAAAACGTCACCGAGTCCTGAAGAGAGAAACTGAATCTGAGGAAAAACCTACACAAGCCCGGAGACGCACTCGCCTTGCTTATAGTCACGTTTTACTTCTCGACTTTGTTAAGTAACAAAACTAAACTCAAGTGGTTTAACCAAAGGTACAAACAAGCAGACGCCTTGCTCTGGTTCATACGTGGTGTGTCTTTGGAGTCTCCTCCAAACACTTAAGTCACCACTCGTGGACGCTCGGTGTCAGAGTGCCATGCTATGATTGTGTACGTATGTGTGTGTGCGACTGTATATAATGTTTGTAAGTGTGCGTACTGTTTATTTGTGTAAATGTGTGTTTAGATGCGTTTGTATTTATGTAAAAAAAAAAAACACAAAAAAAAACAACAATTGTGTCATGTCAGGTGTTTTATTTTGTCCACAGTGTCCGGATGCTGTCAGGCCGTGTAGGAAACTTGTGTCTCTCGACCGTGACGTGACTCTGACTCAGCAAGAGCAGAGTTGTAACTGAACGGTTTGACTTTGACGAGAGGAGACGCAGCAGCTCGGTGAATCAGAATGTATAGTGCCTTGCTTTTTGTGTACAGTTTATATACAGAAATTCTAGTCTGCATTTTTAAAGACTTTCTTTGTGATATAAGACATAGTGAAATAAATCACAATACGGCTCAAATCAAGAACTCTGGCTCTTCTGTGTCTCTTCCCACATACGTGCTCTTTCCCTGCATTAACACCGAAACTCCATTGGTCCATTGGCTCAGTGATGAAGGTTGTGGGTTTGAATCCTGCACCACAGTTCAGGCCCCCTCACTCAGGAGGATGGCATTATTCACCAAGGCCACTTGATGGAGACACAGGCTTTTATTCTGTGAGCAGAATAATTCTACTCAAACTATTGCAAAAGATTTTTAACAAACTCGTTGATCGTTAGTTTAAAACGGAAGCTGGAGGAAGTATCACTTTGATTTTGAAGGAGTGACCCACAAACCAGAAACATGCTGCAGATGTTAGAAG